TGGGTGGAGGGAGCAAGCTGGGTCTGCAGGGGATCAAGCAGTGTCCATGGGTGGGGAGGGAGGAAGGGGAGGCACAGAGGTGGGGAGAAGCCCTGCTGCTCAGGGGAGGAGGTGGAGATGGGTGCGAGGAGGGGCTGGAGCACCAGGGGCTGGAGGAGGAGGTGGCAGCAGCAGAGGGAGTGTTTACATGGCCACCCCATGTAAAACGGGCTGGCCATGTAAACACTCCTATGAAGTCTGTCTTCCTTGATGGGCAATTGGCTAGCGTATGTATGACAATGAACTGTCTTTCTGTTAGCATGGCAGAATCAAGCTGTGGGAGAGTAAGCATGGTTCTGTTCTACTCTGTGTATCACCAATGGAACTGTTAGCTAAATTCCAGTTGGAGGGCCAAATACTGCCCTAATTTCACTTGTTAGATCCAATGGAAGTAGCTGTACTGATGAAAATGAGGGCAAGGTTTGGTTTCAACCAGGGGTATGTGAACCTGCCCCCCAGTCACTGGGGGACACCCTCTCCCCTTCCCCCTGCTCATCTGGCTATTGGGGGACTCCTGGCTTCTTGACTGGCTGCCAGGGGTACACTGACCCAAAAAGGTTGAAAACCCATTGTTTACAGGTACCCTTGTACTGGTGCAGTACTCAGAAAGAATACAGATGTGACTTCCTGATAGTCTGAATATTCAGATCTGTCAATTATAAACAGTTGTATTACATTGTTAGCTTGAATTTGAAATCATTGAAACAAACATCAAACTCCTTTCCATTACATTTTTACAGGAGCACAGAGTTGGTACATACTGTAATGTGCATGGTACTAGCCTAGTGATTTTATGCCTTTAAAAAAAGTAATGTAAATTATAGCATGAGGCATTTATTTCTGTTTCATATAGTGGTTTTCCAGTTAAATGGATTAATTTGCTTCTCTCTCTCTCTCTCTAATTGGATATCCTTTGTAAATTTCAGAGAATTTCGATTTGCATCAGAAGTTCCAATACGACTTGATTACCATGGCAAACACGTATCGATGGATCAGGTTTGTTTACGCTACTGAGACTATACAAGCACAACTAATGCTTCTGAGTTTCTTTCCACTGGCTGAGTTATTCTTTATGCCACCTGCCCATTATTGATGTAATCTGGAGCAATTTTGAAACATTATTCCTATAAATGTTCAATAAAATGAAGTGTTGAAATCTTAAATTGAGAAGAGAGATGGTTAGTTATGTTTAGTCTAAAGTTAGGCAGAAGGTAGGGTCATGAACCAGTCATAGTATCTGATTAATTAGGTTGCTGTCTACAAAACCTCATGCTTCTCTGAACTAGTTAGTTTCCCTGTCCTACTTTCTAATTAAATTGAGAACAGAAGGATAGAGTCTAGTGGATATGATTGACCTCCATTCAGCTCGGGCCAAGGTGACTAAGGCCAAGAGCCCTGCCTAAGTGGCCACAAGGATTCCAGTAATGCCTTGGATGCATTCCTTGACACACTTCCAAATTGTCAGAGAGCCTTGTACCATCCATAGATTCCTCTTATACCACCTAAGTTGCATGTCTCTTCTGTTCAGTCTTCGTACTCTATGACCTATGAAATGTATACAATAATATTTGAGTGTGATCCGGTTAATTGTTTCCCAACTGCAAAGTTTTTTACTGAGTATTTAACTTTCAGGGTACTTTAGCTGGGATTCTGATCGGTCTTGCTCAATTAAATTGCTCAGAGTTGAAGCTGAAGAGACTCTGCTATCGACATGGGTAAGTTTGCATAATTGTCTTCACTGCAAATTGCATGTAAATATTGTTTGTAACTAAATATAGCAGACAAAAAGTAAATACTGAGTTAGGTATAGTTAAAATTTAAAACATTTTTGCAATTATTTTATCAGCAGAAACTTCATTTTAATGGATGCTGTCTTGTTTAAAGGCATTTGGTGCTATGACTTTGACAGATTTGGGGGCTGAGAGTTTACTAAAATGATTTGGTAAAAAAACAGATCCATATTAAGGCCAGTACTTCAGTATATGATGACTGTCACATTAAAGCCTTAAAATGAAGTGTTTTCCTGAATAAAAGCCTAAAGAAGTAACATGGAGCTATATTGCTTATCTGTCAAGATTTTCAACAAGCTTTCTTCCTGTCCATTAACTCCTTAAACTGATGCTCCCAAGTGGAATTCTGTAATTTATTTGATGAGACTTAGACAAAAAACTGGGTCCTCCAAAAGTAACAGAGCATGGCATTTCAACCTGGATTTCTCTAGTGTCAAAAAAATGTCTTTTTCTTTTCATTCAACAGACATGTGCCTCAAAATATGTCATCTTTTGTTTTCGTAATACTAATAATTCTGTTTGGTTTCAGTTTGTTGGGTGTGGATAAGTTATTCTCTTATGCTATTACTGAATGGCTTAATGATATAAAGAAAAACCAGCTGCCGGGAATTCTGGGAGGAGTAGGGCCCATGCATTCTTTAGTACAATTAGGTGAGTTCAGTTCTGTCTCTCCAGATTTTGTGTGCCTCCAGATTTTAGGTGCCTCTTGAAGGTATGAGAGTTTATCTAACAAGTTACTAAGTATGGCATTCTGTCGGTAATTTCAGTTCAAGGTCTGAAGGATTTGGTGTGGCTACCAATAGAGCAGTACCGAAAGGATGGTCGTATTGTAAGAGGCTTTCAAAGAGGAGCAGCTTCCTTTGGTACTTCCACTGCAATGGCAGCTTTAGAGCTAACAAACAGGATGGTTCAAACTATACAGGTGTGTTTTGCATTATATTTGGGGTTAGACAAAGGAGGGCAAATTGTAGTAATAGGGAACAATTGAATACCCCAGTTATGATCTAGAGGACACGGTAAAGCTGGGTGCAGGGTGCTGCACACAAAAAGGGCAGTCTTTGCCCTGGCACAGTAAAATTTGCTGTCGTTTGATATAATTTGAAACACTTGCAACGTAGAAACATTGACGCTAATAAAACAGCTAGAATGGGAGAAGATGGATTAGGATATGTTTTTAAATGCACATGATTTTTATTTGCATATTGGTAGGCTGTTATTTTTTCAATGTTACAGCCTTAAATTGCTGAAGTGAATAGTTTTTGTTTGTATAATCTAAAATTCTTTGGACGTGGAGACTGTTTACCACTGTTTCCAAAGTCGTCATAACTTCAGTAAACATCAAAGTAACTTTATTTTAAAGTGAAAACAGTTTTATGCCTCAGATAAAAAACTACATAATTTTAGTTTCTGAAGCTGCAAATGTTGCGCATGCTTAACTTACTGCTGACTTCAATTGTCCATTGTCACTTATGCAAGTCAAGTTATTCACCTTCTTAGCTACTTGTAGGAGCTGAGCCTTGATTTTCAGTGTTATTTTTGACTATTCAGTTTTGTAAAATTCTAAAAGATCCCTTAATAGTAATAATAACATAAACAAGCATTTCACTATAAACTTTCAAGCTGAAATGACACACTTTCCAACTTAACTTACAAAGCCACAGTCCAATTTTAATTAATGATTTCTTTTCTTAAAGTTATTTAAATTGTCTTGATTAAATTACTCTACCTAGGTAAATGTTATTGTCCCAATACTCTTGGATGAGAGAGGGGAGGTGTAAGGCTTAATTTCCTTCTTTTTTGCTTGTGTGTGATAATTCAGGCTATGAAAGAAAAGAGACTATCTTGGGATGTAATATAAATATTCTAAGACTGTAGTTTCTCTTTAAATTACAGCTGTCCAGTGTTCTGACAGTTGAGGAAGGGAGGAATGCATGAAAAATGCTATTTTCACTCTTAAAAAAATAGCCGAATTCTCCTGGTATTCTGTCCACCTTGCAATTGTTATAAATTGGGCTGGTTTTGATATGTGATCATGTATATGTTATGATTCTATTAATTTATTTTTCATCTCTTCTAATCCCTAGGCAGCTGCAGAAACTGCTTATGACATGGTTTCCCCAGGCCCTAGTTGTATTGAGACAAAAAAGATGAAGCGATTATCTCGCTATCGCTTGGCTCATCAGCCAGTGGATCTACGGGAAGGTGTGGCCAAAGCCTATAGTGTGGTAAAAGAGGTATGAGTAAATGCTGCTTATTTCCTTTTTCCTTTTTTCCAAACCATATTTAAAAGTTGCTACTGCAAAATCTGCTATATATAAGATGGTATTAAAACATGGTTTTGAAATTATAAGAATATCAGTTTGAAATGTGCAGCCTTGCTCAGTAGACTTCATTGTATAGAAGGCTTGCATGTGGGAAGATTTGAGATAAATCGTTAAACCAGGGCAGCCTGAAAAGGGAATCAATTAAATGAGGTAAATTTAATGAACTGTATTTTACAGATTTTTCTTTTCCTACTGAATATCAAATACCTCAAAAGATTATAAAACTAACTTTTAGCACTAACTTTCAGTATTTACTATTTAAGCAATTGCCTGTATATAAAACAAATGTATGAGTCATGGATTGTGATGCTTTTTAAGTTTGGATGGTTAGGTGAGTTGTGGCTACTGTTTTGTAGCTTAGTTGCATGCTTGATATTTTCCATAAGTAAATGTCCACTGTTTTTAGTCTGACTGTTATTTGGAGTGATCTTTATGGAGTGAAGAAAGGATGTAAGATCACTTTTACTGAGATGGGGAGCATTCAGTGAACACAGTCAGCTTGGAAAAGTATCTTTTACGCTGATTGCTTGCAGCTTCTACCACCGCTGCCTGAGAAATTCTATAAGCAGTTATATTAGATCATTCTTCCTACACTTTTAGTAAGTATTGGATAAAATTAATGTTTAGAACCAAACTGAACTGTGTAGGTATAGTCCTTCAACAGTGTTGATGAAATTCACAAAAATAATCTCTGCTGAGTAATTTAAATCACTGACAAAATTAGAAGGGGGTGGATTTTCTCTTGGGTAACCACTTTTTGTTGATCTTTCAAGGGGATTACAGATACTGCCCAGACCATCTACGAAACTGCTGCTCGTGAGCATGAAAACAGAGGGGTAACAGGAGCAGTGGGAGGAGTCCTCCGCCAAATTCCACCAGCTGTCGTGAAGCCTCTCATCGTTGCAACAGAGGCAACATCAAATGTGTTAGGTGGAATGCGAAACCAAATCAGGCCAGATGTACGTCAAGAAGAGTCTCAAAAATGGCGTCTTGGGGAGGATTGATATTTTGAATCTGGCTCAGCATGAGGCTGGGAGTATAAGAGATGATGTCCAAACGGCAGCTGTAGATGGAACTCATTTCATTATTCTCATCTCAGGAACAGAAGAGGTTTTCAAACAACTTGATAGCAGAACATCCAACCAAAAACTTCAGCAATGAAAAGCAAAGTGGTACTTCTTGTGGACATGCTGCATGTTACCAAACCATTTGGTAGCTAGTGCCAAATATAGTGGAGCATTTGCTGCCAAGTTAGAGACATGCTTGCTTTATTTCATTTACCATGTTTTCCTTGGTACATTTGATGCGTCATTAACAGCAGTCCATTTGGTCACACTAGATATATTTTAAAATGTTTTCTTGAGCATGCTCAAACTGTCTTCAATAAAGGGCTCCACAGATGCTTTTTGGTAACTGAAAGATACAAGTTTTAACTTGTCATGTGATCGGGAAGTCATGATATGGAAGCAGATAGGATTTTTATGATTTTGTGGTGATGAACATTGCTTTTAGTATAATACATAAAACAAGGGCAATCTCTCAGTAACTGTTCAGAATTTAGACTCATTTTTTCTGAAAAAGAATTGTTCCTTCTAAATATCAAACTCCTATTTTTTGTGGGTTTTTGAAGAACCTGAATGTTGCAGACATGTTCTGTTGTGTTGCACTTTAAAGAATATGCCTGTATATTGTGCTTTTTTTATAGTGTTAATAAAACTTAATGTGCATTATCCTTTTATGTGGTTTAGAGACTTATGCAAATTATTGAAAGGGACATCATTAGATGAAGACCCTAAAAAACAGAACACAGAATAAGATGTCTTACATTTGTTTAAGCTACTCCTGATAAAAGAGGGTACCAGTTTCTTTGTCGTCTTGTCTACTAGCAGCTATGCCAAAAATAGCTGTACTCTTAAATAAAAGGCTATTACAGTATTGTGTTAGGTAGGAGGAGTTTCTTGGCAAGATGAGGTCCCTTATCCAAGTAACAATATTTCATTTAATAATTAAAATGCTATGCAGCATGTATTTTAATAAGCTACCTTTTATTTAAAGATTCCATTGTTGCACAGTAGTGTTATGGCACTCTAACAACATGGCATTTTTAAAAATTCCTTTAGTACAGTGTTGATTATCTGAATGTCATGAAGGGACATAAATTAAAATAAGCTAATTAATATTGGGGGGAGTCCATGTTTGTTAGATCCATAAAGAAGAAACAAAAACTAGAATTGATCTTGACATTGTTTCCAGGTTCCCTGGGAACCCAGTTGTCACTTAAGGGCAGGGCCTGGGCAGATCCTATTGATGATGTATGGATAGTAGGTGAACAGGCAAAACTGCTGAGAATAAGCTGTAGAGTAAACCCCCTATACCTGGACTTCTGTAACAAGTTGGGGAGACAGAAGATGGGGAGGAAAATCCTCCCAATTGTTGACAGTTTGAGAGTGGGGGATGATTAGCTAAGGCCTCAATTGATACAGTTGCTGTCCTTGCCAAATAGAAGCACTGCAGACTTGCTACATCCAGTTCTCTGCTAGAGAAAAGAATGCTTAAGAAGCTTTCAAGGTGTTAAGCAAGGAAT